AGATACTAAAAAGGAGGGTGTCTTTACAAGGCTTCGTGCTTTCAAATGCCAATAGTGAAGGCAAGCTTTATGGGTTCTTTACTTGTCCTGAGAATAGGGAAGCCATAGTTGGTTTAAGGACCCCCACTTCAACGGGGCGGTAGGACATGCATTATAGGGGCATCCACAGAACTGCCTCCAGGCCCAGCATAAGTAGATACATCTCTAATTCAGGAAAATTACTGTGGCACAGCACTGTTTAACAGAGCATACATATTCCAAAGGGATAGGACTTTCAGGCAGAAGATTTTTATTAAGACAGGTTAGGGCTTGAGGAGATGGTGATGCCAGCTTGACATATGAAGACTCTGTAGTTGCAACATGCTTGCTGTAGGCCTTGCAAACATCTTCATTCTCAGTCGTTGACAGCCATCTCCTGGCAGTGCCGAATGAAACAGTGGATACATATTTGTTAGAGGCTCTCAGCTTTGCAATACTAATAGACTTTGCAAAACTGTATGAGGTGATAAGTTGTGACTATAGGCAACAGATCTTTCGTTTTCCCACATCTGAATGTACTAGACTGGCATGTCACAGAGTGTCCAGAGAACTGTTGTCTCGGGACAGATTCCCTTTCTGAAGTGCTTGCTTGCATGCAATTATTAGGTCTGACAGTCTCACATCATCAGCCAGTGATGTTGTAAGCCATAGTGATCTTGTCTCTTGGAACACACAGTCCCAGAATCAGTGACATGTTGCTGTGTGTTTGTCTATGAAGACCAGCACAAACGACTCTAGTACAGGGTCTCAGATGTCTGAGCTGCAAGAAAACTTGAACATGGGCCAGGCTGATTGGCTTTCAATATACAAAAAGTAATGAAAGTGAGGTTCAACAAAACCTTGGTCTCTCTAGCTTTTCTAGATATATGCGACCTGTGCAATATTAACCAGAGTAGGGGGGGAGAGAGGCATAACCCAAAATGATTTATTTGAGGAATGAATTCAAAACAACATGGTGGGAGAAAGTGAAATTTAGAGAACTGCTCTACTTTAGATTTCCATAATGCCTGGCTTAGACTGAACACATTTCTGTAGTTACTATGGCTACATTTTGTCATGTTACATTTATGCTGTGAACCCAAAGCGCTAGATTGGCAATTGTCCGCTGATTAATAAGAACTAATAAAGGAGCCTTATTAGAGAATGATTAACTTTCTTCACTTATAATTTCCTACCAATCACCAAAGTCCTCATTTAGAACATGGGTTTTGCGATAGCTTAGATCATACACAGAGGGGCCTGAATCCGAATCCAATTACATGACACTTGTAGAAAAATCAAAAATCAAAAATCATTTTTCAGAACTGGAAAATTCCAGATTCTAATCCGAGCTCTTCACAGGAAGTATGTTAAGCAAACTACATAGCTGGTTTGGGCCTGTAAAATGGGTCTGAGGATTGTGCTGCTGTTAAATAGGAATCTTTGCCAGTACTCACTTCTCTCTTTCCTGGCTTCAGTGGTACTTGATGAGTTTTCTATGCATAAGGATTTTAAAAACCACTACTAGGCTTTAGTATTATTTAAACCTAACACTTTCGCTGTTGACAAATTTGAGACCAGATGATTATGTACTCTTATTCCAGTATTTTCCATGCCTTCCAGATAAGAATCACCTGCCCCTCCCATTCTCTAATTACAAACCCAGTTTCCCAGGCCTGTCCTAGAGAACTTAAAGTAGATCCCAGACGAGGACTGGGAATTTATATTTTTAATAAATATCTCGAATCATTCTTATCTTCCAAGAAGTTTGGTAGCAACGCCTCTCAGATGCCAACGGGCAAGCAAATGACTTGACTCTCATGTTGAAATGCAGCAACTCAATGGACCTGGGATGGGGCCTGAGGTTCTGCACTAACACACTCCGAGACCATGTAGGTGATGCTGGCCTGAGGAATACACTCCCATCACTACCTGGACTGGCAGTTATGTGGAAATTTCTCCAAGTGCTGTTGATGACGATTTCCTGTTGAGGTAGTGAGTTAGTGTCAACCTCTGGGTGAGAAATTCTGTTTTTGCTTTTTCATCCTTGACTGTACATTGGAACCACCTGAGGAGGTGTTTTTGTTATTGTGTGTGTTTTTTTAAATTATAGATGTCTGGGCTAAATCCTCAGAGATCCTAATTCCCTGGTGCAGCCAGGCAGGGCAACAGGCAGGGCAGCATTTGAGTTACTCAATAAGAGCTTGTTAGACTCAATTTTCAGTTACATCCCAGGCCTTCTGGACCGGAAGCAGCAAGATCCCCACGTGACTTGTGTGCACATTAGGGCTGAGATGTGCTGCTCTATCTGGTCATTAAACTGACCTCTTTTCCTCCTGTAAGTGCTTGGCTGCTCAATGGCCAATCTGATTGCCCCAGGTGGTGGGCTAGTGTCAATTTGTGTTTAGAAGTGACTTCTCCTTACCTTAATCCTATCTCGAGTTCATTGAATTCTGTGGTCCTCTTGGTAGGCTTGCGCTTCTCCACTTGCTCCCATCCCCCATTCCAAAAGAGAGAAATTGTTATTTCTGTGGACTGCATCCCACAATGGTTACATTCAGTTATGGAGATTTAAATGAATGCCTTGAAGAGCCAGGCGTGGTGGTGTGCACCTGTAGTCCCAGCTACTTAGGAGGGGAGGATGGAGGATCCCTTGAGCCCAGAAGTTTGTGGCCAGAGTAGGCAAGAGTGAGACCCCTGTCTCTTAAACGGTGTTGGTCTTAAAAGACGTTGCCCTCCGAGTTTGTTAGGGAAATATGCCCCAAACACACATTTAACTACATTTACATAAAAAATATCCCAAATTAACACCATGAGGACGTTGAAAATATGCCACCCTGGGGCATAATTCCTTGTACCACAAGAGCATGACCTCATCAGTTTTACCCAGTCTACACCAAGGTAAATACCTCTGAAACGTCAACCTTTTCTTTATTTTCATTAAAACATTTATTTTACGTATTCACTCTAAACTGGCTGTTTACTTAAGAGTTATTGCTGTAGCTGTGCCTATTACTGGCTCTGTGATGTGTGTTCTTAATATCCTTTGTGGGTTTTGTCTCTTACGGTGAAGACTGATTTTTGCGCATAGCATATCAAGTCCCATTAAAATGATCATTCCCATAATTACTTTTTAAATATGTGAATCTTAGCCGAGTGGGTTCCTCTAAGCTGGGAAAACTGTATCACGCTGGCAGTGAACATCACCACAGTCTTGATGCTGTCTCTTTTCATCTTGTAACTTACACTGCAGTAGGACAGAGGGTGAGAGGCCAGTCTCGTCTAACGCTAGAAGTCGAGTGTGTGGACTCCGGTCAGACTGATCCCATTCAAGTTTCAGTTAGGCCAATCATGAGGGTTAGTCTCTTAACCCGAGTCCTGGTTTCCTAATTTATAAAATGAAGCAGCACAGAGTTCCAAGGGCACGGAGATCAGCTAAGAAGATGCACATGCGGTGTGTGGCACATCACCCTGCTCCTGATAAATGTGCCCCAAATGCTAGCTACTCCCGGTGCTTCCTCTCTTGTTGACTTCAGGTCAGCAAATCTTTATTGATATCTCGTGTGCTTTGTCGCAGAAGCAAAACAAACAGGACAGAGACCCAGGGAGCTTGGAGTCTAGTCAAGAAGATGCACACATAGAAACAGACAGTCCCAAAATAATACAGCGAGCGCCACAAGGAAGATGCACACAGAAGCGAGCCCAGGCCTTCCTGAGGCTTCCGCCAGAGCCCTGGGCCCAGCAAACTCGCTGAGATGGAGTTCCCCAGGCGGAGAACGCAGCCTTTATCTCACAGCATACGGGAGCTAGTTCAAGGTTGAAAGCAGGGGAGCGGCATGGGGTGCTTCCATGTGAGAAACATCGCTCTAGGGAAACTGTGAAGAACATGCTGGAAGGGGTGAGAACAAAGGCAGAGAAAGCAGTGAGGCTGTTGAGGTAAACTGTAGAGTGTCTATGAAAGAGACCAAATGAGGCTGCCGGTAGCACACCAGGGATGGGAGATGAGCTGCAAAGAACAGCATGTTGTGAAGGTGGGGGAATTGGTGATTTTTTTTTTAATGTAAAGAAAGAAAAGGTCGAAATCTAGGATCTGACTTGGAGGGAAGATAGGGACACGGACGGTGTTCAGTGAGAGAAGGGGCACAGAAGAGAATTTTTTGGAATCTGGAGTGTGTCGCCTGGGTCACATGGTCATGCCCATGACTGAAAGGAAAACTCAGGGAGAGGGGCAGAGAGAAATGCCCAGATGTTGAGAAACAGCCCCGGGAAGGCTGATATTGAAGGGAACAAGTGCTCAGTGGAGGAAGAAGGCGTTCTCAAGAGATGAAAGGTCAGGTAGAGCAGAACGAGGAGAAAGGAGTTTCGGGGATGACCGGTATTCAAGGAGGCGGTCTACTTAAGTGATGTCTTGACTGATGGCTCTGGGCTCAGCTGTGTCACTGGTGACCTTCACCGGAGCCATGCTGATGGTGTGTGGGACAGAATGGGGTGAGGAGTGATACCAAGACCTGGAAATGCCAACTGCAGACTATTCCTTTGGGAGGTCAGCTGAGAAGAGACCGAGGGAAAAGACAAGGTAAAGAAAAGGGCTTTCTGAAAGAGACGGGGGGAAGGAAAAAGAGAAAGATGAGGAAGACAAGGATTATTGGAGGAGCAAGGTCCTGGGAGGCCCAGGACGGGGCCGGCGCGTCACAGAGAAAGGCTCTCTCTTCCTGAGACTGTAGGAAGATGCTGAGTGTGGACATGGAAGCCGGTCGGTTCTGCAGGCAAGGAAGAAAGTTGGTAGAAAAGATAGGTGGGAGTGAAGGAGGACTTTGGCTTGAAAAATGGACTACGTGTAAGTTAAGTGAGGCAAACTGTCCCACTCAGCAAAAAGCGATTTGCAAAAACCCCACACTTGCCATAATACAGGAGTAGTACTCAGTCATTTCTCGGAGGTGGCATGTACATGTGCATGTTGAAAAAAAGTATGAGTCATTATCTTTCATGCTAAATTTTTATTTCAACGTTATGCAACTGCATAAGTATAAATATTTTGTTCAATATACAACAATTATGACATCCATAAGGAGTTTCTTAGAGAAAATAAGACTGCAAACACTTTATTGCACAGATCCTAACAAACTTTTAAGCTGGTAAATCTACAGCTGGGAGGACTACTGAGGTTGAACACGTCTTACAATCACACGGAGACTGACCAAGTAGAACACAGGAGAATTTCTACCAGCTGATTGGAGAGGTTTACAACAACAAACAGGTATTACATGAATGCAACCTTAAGTACTCTTTACTCTTCCAGAATGGAAAAAAAAAAAACGTATTTGGCAAAAATGATGATACGCTATACAAAATATACATCGAAAATATCATTTGTAAACAAATAGCTAGTTGTGCTTTAAAGGAAACCGGACAATTAAAAAGCAAAGGCTGTAAACCATGAACTACCTCCCTGACAGACCTGTCTCGATGGCTGAGCGTAGAAAGATTGGGTTATGACAACTGCCAAGCACACGGAGATGTATTATAAATGTTGAGACCACTTTTGAAGCCCATTGGCGTTCTTGTAAAATGCTTAATTCTTCCACAGCTTCACGATGTCGTGTGGCGAACGGCTAAAAACCATAGGGGAAAAAATTAGGGGCAAGGAGGAGGCTTTTTCCTTTTTTTTTTTTCTCCCTTTTTTGCCATTGCCAACTCATTTTACAACAAAGGACAACCGAGTAGCCAAGTTATGCCTTTGTTTTCAGGTGTTTACAGCCTCACTAGATGATTTACAATCCATACATCCCTAAGATGATAGCTGTGCTTAGATGAGCAAGTTTATAGCCTGAAGATACTAAGACATTCCCCCCAAGGGGGTTTGGGTGCAGATTAGTTATTTACTGGTCATTTTTTTGGTCTTGCAAAACAAAACAAAACAAAATTCCGGCTATGGTTCCCAAGCATTTTATAAATACTTATCTGTATTTTCTCTTAGTGCCTCAGTACTTACATCAGCAAGTGCCATCTTACAATACAAAACAAGCCACCAAAAAAAGAAAAAAAAAAAACCCTGCAACAAAATAAACAACAAAAATCAAAACCTTCAGCACTAAAATGATTCGACAAATTCTACATATTCCACGGTATACAAAATTTAAATAAGGCTTAGCAAAAGTAAAAAGGATGGTCACATTCAAGCACCAAATAGCTCCGAGTCTCTTTGTTACAAAAATGCTGCTCTTTAGTAATACAGTATTTTTTTTGCATACAAATAAAGAGATCGTGTTATGAAATGTATGGAGCTACTTGATGCATCAGAAATGAATGTGAAACCCAGGAACTTGCTAAAAACAGCAAGCTTCATCTACAACGTAAGGCCCCAGCTATGTATTAAAATGTATCTGATGTCCTGATTATTCCATAATATATATGCTATGATGCCAAAAGCCATCTCCCATTCTTTTTCTCAAAAAAGCAAATTGAAAACCTCTTCCAATGCCTGACACTCATTCCCCAACCTAAGTATCAGCAGACTTGCGTGCAGCCAGTAACTTTCCTTTTTATTCACGGGCAGGGCTGGTGCAGGACTACTATAAAACGTGTGCTTCTTGGACTAGCCACTCACAGCATAAAGGCCTGAGTTTAAGAGCTTGAAAAGAAGGGCAAGAACGAAAACAGAAATAATGTTGATTTGTGTTTACGGTCCCCGCTCTCACCCCAGGCGAAGACCAGACATACACATCCCCAGACAAGGACAGCTGGCCTTTCAGACAATTGGGCAGGATCAAAGTGTCCACCAGGCTAAGGGTGACGTGGAAATAGCCAGCTCCTTTTGTCCTGGCCATGCGTAATGGAGGAGGTTTCCAAACGCAGCAGTTAGAGTAGTTCTTGCTTTAGATCTGGAAATCTAGGTAGCCAGATACAGTACTATCAGAAACTCTGGTTAAAAAGACACTTAAAAACTCACAATCTACCGAGTTTAGGGCTTTCTCCATCTTTGCCTTTACTTAGAATGCTTTAGCTTATAAAAATGGAACCTTGAAATATTCTCTTAAACCACAGACCAAAACATGTAGGTGGATATGTAGATGTACGAATAGGGGTATACCTATGTTTTTCCACATACCCAGTTTTGACCATTTTGCTTCATTACTGCATTATGATAAATGGTAAAGCAAAAAGGCTTCTTAAAAAAAGCTGTAGTAAACGACGCCATCAGCAGCAAGGTATAGACTCTACATTCCAAACCAAACACGTTGCTATATATTTACAGAGAAAAGCTTTTTCCTCAACAACCCTCAACCGTAAAGGTACTTTTGTGTTTTGTACAAACACCCTCTGGTAACAGTTTTACCGGCTGCACCTGGGAAGGCATCTGGAAGAAGGTCTCCTGTCGGTCTCTCTCTCTCCCCTTCCTCAAGGAGGCTCCAAGCTCTGCCTGGCGGACATCCCCACACAGTGCTGGTTTTGAAAAGTCGTCGGGACGCGGGCCCGCCCCGTTACGAGGCCTTTTTGTGAGGGCTGCTCCGCAAGCTCTCTTTCCCCCGCCTCTGCCGTACCACAAAGTCCTTCTCAGAAGAAAAGGAGACGGGGCGGTCGGGGTTGGGGGCTGGGGACGGTTTGGTCGCTTCTCTGCCCACGTTCTGCTTCCTAGCTGGGGGCGGCTGGGCAGGGGCGGGGTCCTTCCCTTTGGTTTCTCCCACGGTGGCAGTGATGGAGAGAGCCCTGTCCCGGTGGCCGGTTGCAGCCGTGACGCCTGGGTCGGGGTGGTGTGACTCCAGAGGGAGGGTGGCGATCCGGAAGGAGGGCAACGAGTCGCTCTTTGTCATCTGGGTTCTGCCATCTCCCCCCGACTGAGACCTCCTGTGATCCCTGTTGCTGGAGGCTGGGAGTTCCCCCGTGCCTGCCCCGGCCTTGGCAGAAGTGGCGTCGCTGTGGGCCACAGAGGCCTCTCGGACTCCTGGTCCAGCTTCGGGAAAGCTGGAGGAGCAGCTCAGAGGCTTTTCCGGGAGGGCAGCGGGTGGAAGAGAACTCTGCCCGGTGGCTGAGGGTGACCGTTTCATGCTGCTGGGCTTGCCTGCCTCTGTCGGTGGCTTCTGGGGACTGAGCCCTTTCCCTCTGGGCTCTGGGGGGCCCTTCCCAGCCACCGCGGCTGACCTCTCGGGGCCTCTCGGCCGGGCCTCCCCGAGTGCAAGGGGAGGGCCGGCCTCCAGCCTGTCGCCGTCGGCCGGGACATAAAGTGCTTCCGTGCCTCTCTTCCCTTCGGCCCTCCTGTCAGGGGCAGTGGCCTGCTGGCCCGAGCTCTTGTCCGTCAGCCTGCAGAGAGGGGGGCCGTCTTTCACAGTGGATGGTTTGGGGTGCTTTGGAGACAGGCTCTGCTTGTCGCCGACGGTGGAAAGTTTCTGGTCTACGGGCTCACCGGGCCCTGGGTGTCCCTGCTTTGACAAGTGCGTGGATGTCTCCAGCACCTCCAGGGAATGCCCACCACGGGGGGGCTTCGGCTTGGTGTCTCCAGGACCCCCTTCGGTGTGCAGCGGGGGCGAGGACCTGCGTTCTCCCTGGCCAACCGCATCGCCAGCTTTGTGCTGGGAGCCTGGCGTGGCAGGGAGCGCATCCAAGCCACCCCGGCTGCCCTTCCCCTCCCTGCTAGAGCAGCCGAGGGCCTGAGTGACAGGTTCTTTGCCCCTGGTGGCCCCGACACTCGTCTTCTGTGAGGACAGGGACCTGTCGGGGTGCTTGGACTTTGGAGGGACCGGGTCGGGGCCGGGCCGGGGTTTGTGGCTGCTGCTTTCACTGTGCACGGCGGCGGGCCTGGGGGGGTCCTGGGGGCCCAGGCTGGACCCTGCGGCATTGGGTGTGACCCCCGGCTCTCTGCTAGAAGCATGGCTCAGGGAACTGCAATTCTGCCAAGTGGCCGGGCTGGGCAGTTCTGTGGCAACCAGTGGAGGTTGTGGGCTGCTGCCAAGAAGCCTTTGTGGGGGCTGCTCCTTCCTTTCGGGTTCCTTGGGACCCTCTTTCTGCAAAGTTGGGAAACTGGAGAGCCTCTCACTCCTCCCACTCTCAATTCCGGGGGGCTGCAGAGACCACCTAGCAGCAGGGGCTTCGGGCTTGGGTTCTGAGCCACCCCTCACCTTGTCTGGCTCCTTGTCACAGGGAATCCTGGCTGAGCGTGAAGAGGAGTCCTCTCGGGTCAGGGGCCTCGCCTCCTCTCGGCTGTCTTTGAGGTTTGTTCTTCTGCCAGGCCCCCATGCCTTCTCCATGGCCTGGGTCTGCGTGTAGAAATCTGGGTGGGTCCTTCCCACAGAGGGGGGATTTGGGGGGTTGTCACTGGCTTTAGCAGTTTCTGGAAGGCGCGGCTCCATAGAGGGCTGTCTGCGGACATCAGCCCTTGCGGCCGACCATTCACTTCTGGCTGTGGGAGGGCCCCTTTCAGGGGATTCCCTCTGGCCTGGCTTCTCCCGTGACGGGGCACCTTCGGCTGGGAGTGGGCTGTGTGGCCTGGCTGGGTCACCGCTGTGGAGGGTCTGCCCCGGGCAGGGGAGGAGCCTGGGATCTCTGGTGTGGTCTTGGGGTTTGAGGAGGTTGCCCTCTCTCTGGTGGGGACCACTTTCGATGATTGTCACTGGGCTCCTGGCAGCAGCATGGGGGGCTTTCCTGACCCGCTTTAGTTCCGTGTCAGGCAAGGGAGCTGCTGGTGAGTTCTGGGGACCCCGGCCGGGGGGCAGGAACCGAGGCTCCAGCAGGTGGGACTTATTTGTCTTTAAGCTCGCAGGAGAAGGCTCTCTTGGACTGGCAGGTTCTCCCTTTTTCCCACTGCTGGGGACAGCTGGTGGCACAGAGGGCCCTGTTTCATTGCCCGGGCTGGGGCTCTGCACAGGCTCTGGCGAAAGCAGCTCTGTCTTGGAGGCCTGGGGTCCGGAGAGGAGAGCAATGTCCAGAGTGCCCTCGATCGGCTTCAGGCATGAAACAGACCTACCTTCCAACTTATACTCGGAGGGGCTCTTCCTGACAGGGGACTCAGGAGCAACCAAGCCAGAGGCCGGCTTTTCTGCCCCGCTGTCCACCCGGCCCACCAAGGCCTTGAGGGGAACCAAAGAGACCGCGCTCATCTGAGCTGCCTGGGGGCTGGCGACAAAGGCCCGGCTCTCAGAGGATGGCAGGGACTCCTGCTGCCCCCCCGTGGGCCGGCCTGGGTTCCCTGGCAGGCATTCGTGGGCGCTAGCTGGCATCTTGGGCTTCAGCATGGGGCGGAGGCTGTCATCTTTGTCATCAAGTGACATTTTCTTCCGTAGGTAATCGATATTGGCCAGTTTGCTGTCCAGCTTCTCACATCGGAGAAACTCCTTGGCCTGGGCGGGCCTCTCTGTGCTTTCTCCCTTCCCGGAGGGAGACCTGTCGACGGAGGGACAGAGACTGTCCTGGAGGGTGCCCGGAGCAGGGGCCCGTTTGAAGTCCCCGCAACCCTGGCCGTGCTCGCCGGGCGTCGAGCCATAGCTGGCTGACCCGTCCAAGGTCACGGCCTCGCTGGTCCGCACGCTGGCCTGCTTGTGAAGTGCATCCCTCAGCAGGCTGCCCAGGGACTGGGCCTCCTGCATGGCCGGTTTGTTTTCAAGATGATTCGACTTTTCCAAAGCTTTCGGGTAGATCTTCTTCTCTCTCTCTTCTAGCTTGAAGACAGCGAGGCTTTCCAGGTCACTCCCAAGTCCGTGGGGCTTCGGGTGGGATTCTTGTTTCTCCGGAAAGCCATCTGGCTTCTTCACCACCACCTTGGCCTTCAGCTTGTCCCGGTCCAGGTCGTCCACAGACTCCTGGCGACCCAGCTTGCGGGACACGGGGCGCTTCAGGCAGCCCTGCTCCACGGGCCGGGCCCGGCTCAGGGGGGGCGCGTCGCACACATTCTCCTCCAGGCTCTGCAGCGTCACCTCCCGCGGCGACGGGTCCCGCTGCACCTCTTCCTGGGTCACCTCCAGGCTGTGCTTGCGGGAGCACAGGTGCTTCTTGTCACTGCCGTAGGAGGGTGACAGTTTTTCCTCAGACTGCACGCGCTTGAGGAGCGGGGACCTGGGGGGCTCGGCGCTCTTGGGCCTCACGATGTGTCTGACGATCGTGGGCGGGGAGTGCATCTTGCTGGGAAAGGCCTGTGCGATCTTGGAATTGCCCAGCGAGTGTCCCAGAAGCGGGGACGGGGACCGCTGAGGAGAGGTGGGCTGGGGGGTGGGAGAGGGTGTCCGGGCCAGCGGGGAGAGTGGGATGTTGCCAGCCGACTTCCGCCTTCCAGACCGGTACCGCTGCCCACCGAGTTTGGGTGCCAGGCCGTGGAGGGTGCTGGGCCGGATGTGCCCGGACCCCGCGGGGGAATTGGGGGCACTAGAACTGGGGGAGCTGCTCTGTGAGGAATTGGTACCTGCGGGTGGAAAACAGGAGACTGTGAGCATCCACGGTCATTGTCTTTTTTTCCCCACACCTGTAGCCCACATTGTTTTGGGTAAGGCCAGGGAAAGTCAGCAAATGGTCTCAGCATCTAACTCGTGAAATAAACACCTTTTCGATAAACCTCCCCACACCAAGGGTTAGCCCAGACTTCCTGCCTGGTTTGATCGCTCGCAAGAGCCACATCTTGCATCCTCCCTATAAATCTGTCCACGCCAACTATATCCTCGGCCTGCTTTCCTGAAGCTGAACAAGCTTCCTGTTTTTCGGGACCTCAGATGGCAACCGGACCTCCTCTCAGCTCTGTCCAGACCAGGAGACTCACCAGATGGGAAGTCAGGGGTGGAGCGATAGCTTGGCGTGGGAGACCGGGGAGACAAGCTGTGGGTGGGGGAGCCCGGGAGGCTCTCTCCTGATGACAGGGATCGGTTCAGGCAGGAGAAACTGCGGCTGGTGTGGAGCAAAGGAGAAGGCTGCTTGGCGAGTTTTTTGAAAAGAGATCTCCTCCTGGAGTGACAACAGGAAAACACAGCTCAGTCTGCTTTCAGAAGGATGCCTTCTCGCCCCACGCCCCCACAATACTGGTGTATACTTCAGTTCAACAACGGTGCTGGAGATGGTGACAGATGACAGCAGATCCTGCTAGAGAGCAGGATGCCACTTGCATATTAAAAACGTTTTTAAGCCAGCCTTGGTGGCTCAGCCTGTAATCCCACACTTTGGGAGGCCGAGGTGACAGGACTGCCTGAGCCCGCGGATTCGAGACCCGCCTGGGCAACTTGGCGAGACCTAATCTCCACAATAAACCAAAAGAATTAGCCGGGCGTGGTAGCGCGCGTCTGTAGTTCCAGCTACTTGGAAGGCTGAGGCGGAAGGATCACCGGAGCCCAGCAGGTTGAGGCTGTGGTGGCCGGGAGCGGCCACTGCACTCCAGTCTGGGCGACAGAGTGAGATCCAACTCAACAACACAAAAAATAAACAAATAAATAAAAACATTTTTATGCAACATAAAGGAGTAGTCTACAATGGAGGCTCTCTCAATTCCAAACATTTTTAGGAAGAGCTGGAGAAATAGGAAAAATACAAAATATGTTAAAGAAATATATATTAATTTACTTGTTAGGTTGAAGAGGAGGATATTCTTTGCCTGAAAACATCTGAGTACATACCCTGAAATATGTCGGCACTATTTAACGAAGAAGTAATACAAAGTAAATCTCTGGAAGAAAAACCATTATGTTGGAGATGGAATTCTTTAATGGTGACATGCTGGGCACAGGCTGCGTCGCTGAAGGGCTATTTGCTGTGCTTGTTCCATTGAGCTCTTGAATGTTACTAACAACAATATGGGCTGCACATTTACGTAGAAAAATGCAGAAGGTGGCTCTGAGGCTCATGGTATCAGTGGGGCGGCAGAAGCAAACATGCAGTTCACACTCCACCAGCACTCCGAGGGCAAAAAGCCTGGCCTCCACAGGTACATCAGGGCATGTGGCTGGCTACATGGGGCTCTTCTGCCTTCACGTGCCCCTAACCCACCCCTGTGTGCCCAGATAGAAAGTCCCACATGCCACCCTTGAAATGCTTTGCCCCATGGGACTTCAAGCACAGTCAAGTTAGAAAGCACAGCAAGCCCGGCTTGGTGGCTCAGCCTGGAATCCCGCGCCTTTGGGAGGCTGAGGGGAGTGGAATGCCTGAGCCCGTGGGTTCGAGACCCGCCTGGGCAACTTGGCGAGACCTCATCTCTACAATAAATCAAAAATCAGCCGGGCGTGGTAGTGCGCGCCTGTAGTTCCAGCTACTTGGAAGGCTGAGGCAGAAGGATCGCCGGGAGCGGCCACTGTACTCCAGTCTGGGCGACAGAGTGAGACTCCAACTCAAAAAAAAAAAAGCACAGCAAAAAAGAAAGCAAGGATCCCAGAATTTGTACATAATGTTAATCAGAGTAATAAATGTACTTGGGTTAAAAAGGCAAATGGGTCCGTAAACTTATAATGAGAAAAGGAAACTCTTCCTTGCTTTCTCTCCACTCCCCAGAGAAACCACTTACTTGCTATTCTTCTACTGTTTTCTTCTACTGTGTGTCTACATATTGCTAAATAATGTGCTTACACTGCTATTTTTTTAGTTTTCCAGTAGTAGAATTATCTGTTGATTTCCAGCTATGAAAGATGAGAATTAAGCTTTTATACAACCCATTTCAAACACACTTATACCTAAACCAAAATTTCTGGTTAGAAAATATATAAATATCATTCACAGCTGGACCATGTAAAGCATAATTCTGTTTCCTTTCTTGTATAACTATTTGTTTTTCCCAGAGTTAATAAATCATTCATTTTTGGGGTTTACTTATTTTTCTATATTTCTATCATTAAAAAATCGTGTTAATATGACAAGATTGACCAGGTCTGGTGGCTCATGCCTGTGATCCCAGCACTTTGGGAGGCTGAGGCAAGAGGATTGCTTGAGTCCAGGAGTTTGAGAGCAGACTGAACAACATAGTTGTTCAGTCGTTTCTACAAAAAATAAAAAAATAAGCCAGGTGTGGTGGCGAATGCCTATACTCCCAGCTACTCGGGAGGCTGAGGCGGAAGGATCACCTGAGGCCAGGAGGTCAAGCTGTGGGGAGCTAGGCACTTCAGCCCGGGCCACAGAGTGATATACCAACTCCTCAAAAAAAAAAAAGGAAAAGAAAAAGATGAGACTCATGAGGTCCAAATGGGAAAAGGAGCCGCAGGGAGCTGCATGGCAAGAAATCTCCCTGCCAGACAGACTCACACACGTATCTTGCTGCTGTCTGCAGATAACACAAAAAGATACTCATTGGTGCTTCCCAGGCTGCAGATGTGTAGAAGCTTGTTACATTTTCAGTCAGTAAAACAAAGCCCTTTTACTTCTAGGCTTATTTGGAAGCTTTAAAGATATAGCTATTTTAGAGTATCTGGCATTTAAAAAAAAATAGCAACTGTTTGTTTTTAGATAAGGGAAAGGACATTTTAAATGCAGATTTAACATTAAAAACTGCCTGAAAGTCCAGTTCCTAAAATCTACCTCAACTGAAATGAAAGGAAGAGGCTTAAAACAGCAAAGGGCTGTTCCTGACACTCACATGTGATGAAAAGCGATCTGAACCCTTCTACAATGTGAATATGGAAATTCTTTTACTATGGAAATTAACGCTATTATGAATAGGAACTTGAATGTGTAAATATATGTGAACCATAGCATACCACTTCTCACAGAGAAAACAGATCTTTCTCATATGCAGGCATTTAACTTACGTAAAGGAGCAACTCTTCTCCAAACTCCAAAAGAATACGGGTTTCACTCACCTTTCGAGACTTTCTTTCTTCTTAGATTTCTTGCTTCGCCTTACCATTCGGCTCTTATAGCTATTTCTCCTGGCTGGTCCTGTTTTGATGGATGTGTTTTCAAATGGGGTAGTTGTGATTGACACCTTATTTCCACTCTATAAAAAAGACAAGGTGGTATTAAAGGGAAGTACTGTGATGAAACAAGTTCAGAACAGATACGAGCGACCCAAAGACAAATAAAAACAGATAGGAGTGTACACAGAAAAAGCCTTCCATTTCTTAAACCCTTCCGTCAACGGAGTCCTGACAGAATACAAGCAGGGTGGAAAGCAGAAGATGAAGTTCTTTAGGAGGGTGGGCTCTGGAGTCCACAGGTCTGAGTTCAAATCCACACCCTGTGTCTTCAGCAGGCTGCTCACCTGCCCTGTACCTCTATTTCCTGTACCAGCTAACGGCATCATCCTACCAAGCTCCGAGGGCTCATCTGAGGAGCAAATGGGAGAAAGTCTGGAAAGTCTTTTGCACTGAGCGTGACACATGGGCAGAACTCTATAACTAACAGACATCTTCATTCATATGTATTAAGTATAAATTAGCCCAGCAGCTGTCTGCTCTTGGTTGATTTTTCTTTTGTCTCCTTTTTGTGGTTTTCCTTCGGCCTAGAAATCATACAGTAGCAAAACTGAAAGGGATTTTTATTTTTAATTATTTTAAAAGTGTCCTCTTCTATTGCCATAAAACCTGTCAGTGTGCAGAGCTGGAACATTTATGCCAGCCCCTGGGAAACCTCTCTTTAATCAGGTCACGCAGGACATGGTAATTCCCAGTGGGTTTCTGTATCCTTTCACTCCATCCTGGGACAAGAGCTTGCTGGCTGGACTCTATGGACGGAGCTGAGTGTGGAGTCAGCAGCCAGGCTGAGAGGTTCCCAGGGCAGGTGGGCAGCCCCTGGCATCAACCACTCGTCTTGAATTTCATAATAAGTGGGGGAGAAACATGTCCTTTCGAGGTCAGAGATGGCCCTGATTACCTTGATGGTTTTTTTTTTCAGGCATGCATACATATGCATGTACATGCACAAGCTTTACAATCAGTTTTAATCCTACTATACTTATAGTTTTATGCTGTTTTTTCCATTCACATTATATGATTCTGAAAATTTCTCCCTCATCATTAAATATTATTTAAGAACATGATTTTTACTGGTCACATAATATATTTCATTTCATCATTAAATCAAAATTTATTTAACTACTTCCCTACTGCTATTGTTTTCTATTTTTCAAATCTTATGTTAGTTGATGTTGACTCTTGTTTATTTCAGTTACTTGTATTTCTTTAGGAAATGATGTGTTCATATCTTATATCCAGTTTAGTATAAGAAAATCTTAGTATTTTATTACTGGTTTTAGAGTTCTTTATATACTTAAAAACCTACAGATTCGTACCTAATGTCATATTTGTAGAAAATAGTTTAGGGAAACGGGGTGTCAACTTCAACAGGAGAAAAAAGTTTGTTCTTTTCCATTCTGAAAAGAGTAAATTATGCATTCTACATACAAAAGTCAAACCTTAAAAAAAAAAAAAAAAACTTTATCGGATGATAGAGACTGACATTCTATTTGTTCTTTAAGTGAGAAATTCAACTTATAAGTATGTAAAGTCTACCATGGAAGGTTTTTGGAATGAGGTCTTCTCCTCACAAACTAAGGTCATGCTGGAATTTTAGTTTTTCCCCTGGAGAAGGAAAGGGCAACAAACGCGGCTGGAGTTCCTCTTTTACCAACATTCTCTAATCCTCTTCTGCATTCACAGAGTGGATACACAGAACCTGACAGTCACTAGGCTGTTCTATTATGTGAGTCACTTGAGCCAGAATCCAGTTCTCCTCTCTTCTAGTACAATTCACTATCAACATCTTTATCTTTATCTCTAGAGACTAAACAATGCCAGCTAGCATTCCAGAAGCACACTTGAATTTTTCAATTATTTTTCATTTATGTTCTCTTTCTTTTCATAGCCGAGTCATGAGGGTTGTTTGTTTTACCCTCACGACTTGGAAGAGATGATCCTTGCTTTGTAAATAAGGACAACAGATTCGACACCCTGAGATTCTTCTTTTCCAAGGGCGCAGGGTCCGGGGGAAGAGCCTAAGCCAGGCTCTCCTGTCCCTCCACCAAACTCTATTCCTTACGGGCAGGGCACATCCGGGCACCCTCCTCCTCCCTGCACCCAGCACAGCGCGTGGCCTGTGCTTAATGAGCAGTGGTGAGGGGACAGGCACTTGTGCGGCATGGCCCGCCACCACAGTATCAGACTGCCCAGAAGACATGAAGGAGATACAAACACACCATGAAATTGGATAAGAAAAAAGATAAACCCTGAACATTTAGCCTCAGAAGATAGTGAAGACCAGGACTTGCTAAATGACAGCACATCACTGAGCTCTGTGTAAGTGCTCCCTCCCTGTAAAAAGCAAACCCAGTTTTGCTTGTTGCTTCCATGCATGGATGTTCCAGAAAAAAATCCATTTGCCTTGTGGACATACACCAACGACAACTTCTCTAAGGGGAAATACAGACAGGAAGGATGCGAGCTGGAAATAAGAGGTCAGAAACATGAATAGTTACCAAAAAAAGGTAACTGGTAAACCAACAGGCGCGATTTGTGAAGCCTGCCACCTGGTGGACCCAGTCGGCTACAGCGAGTGCTATACACCGAGCTGCTCAGTGTGGCTCACTGGGTCAGATTATATCCAACTTTTCTTGATTCATGAGATCCTTCTTACCAGAGAAATTCTTGGGCATTAGTCTGAAAAAACAACAACAAAAATGCAGCCGACAGACTGTTAAATGTTCTGTTAATTCAATTTTGCTGTAAACTATTTTCATGGTTAGTCCACAATGGGAGGAAAATTATTTTAAGCGTGCTGAATTGAATACACAGGAGAGTTCGGGCTGTCCTGTTTCATCTCCCAGTCTGGCTCTGTGCTAGTTTATCAGGGGATGGGGTATGGGCTCTCCCTGATTCCCTGCATCCTTGCCCTGACTCACCCCTTCACTGTCTAGCCCCAGCCGCCTCGCATGCTTTATCCGGCCTCCTAGTCCATTTGTATACCTCTTACACCTTGAGATCTCTTGCCCTCAAGTTTACAGACTTCATCATTTTGCCTAGACTATGCCGCACCCTCTTTCCACCTACTTAATCCCACCCAGCTTGTATCAAAGTCCTGCGTAGATGACACTCCATTCTTTGAGGCCATTCCTGTTCACCCTGAAGAAAAGCCATCTTTCCTTCTTCAGAACTTCTGACGCGTTTACAGTCTGCTCTTGTGTTTAATACTGTGATCAGAGCCTGGTACTGCTACTGTTTCTCCCTGAGTTCACATGTGGGATGGAACGGCACGCTGTGGTGGTTGCAACTGCCTGGGAGGAAATCATCTTCCATTCCTTCCTGGCAGACAGGCTTAAGCTGCTCTGCTAACTCCTCCCTGCTTTGTTTTTTTTTCATCTGTGAAATGGGAACATTTATATTTATAGAGCCCATCCCAGAGGGCAAATGTGAGGGTTCCCTGACTTTACTCCTGCAAAGCACTTAAAATTGAGTTTGGCAGGGTACACCAAGGGTCCTCGCTCCATTAGCCATTATTCTTCTGTGTCATTTCTGTGTGACCCTTGAAGTACTCTGCTCAAGGCTCTGTATGTATCAGGGCTCAGCAAATATGTGAGGATGGTAATGATGCCATTTTACCATATGGGGGTTCCCCAGAGTTCATGGAAAGAAAACTTATGAATCATGAGCTGGTGACGTTTTAAGGCTTCTCTTAAGCGCTGGGGATTAACACTATACTAAAAAAGCAACCTGGTTAAGTAGAAAGTTTCTTGGATCACAGGAGGGAAGCCTGGCAGGTTATCATGGGAGCAGGGGGTAAGGCCAGACAGGAATGGGCTAGTATGGTCTCCAGCCTTAGTGCTGGGTGAAGGATTACTTCAATCTATTTACAAAGTTCTTCAGAAAGACAGGCTTCTGAACTTCTGATGCATTTACAGTCTGCTCTTAGGTTTAACACTGTGATTACAGCCTAGTATTGCTACTGTCTCCCCCTGAGTTCACGTGTGGAATGGAGGTTGCTCACTCCTTGTGGCAGGGAAGGTTGGAGATGAAGCTGAAGGAGAACATTGCTAGGGATTTCCTTAGCCAAGGGGGAGCTGAACTGGATAACCACGGTATTCCATAATTCCATGGACCTAGAATGCTGAGTGACTCTGGACAAGTTTGCCTGTGCATAGAGGGCAGCACTTTCATAGCAGGTTCACTTTGAAGCTGTGAAGGTAAATGAGACCAAGTATGAAGCTATGAAACATGGAAAATGCTTACTACATTCATAATCCAAAAGACAAATACTGTACATGTATCTGTGGAGTTCTAAACATGTACACAAGCCCTCTGTCTGACTTCACCCTTTTCTAAGAGTGCCATGAGATTTTGTAAAGTATGTTACCAGTAAAAAACATTGTGTAAAAGCATCCAAAAATACTAAAATACAGCCACTATTCTAATATTAAACCAGGGGTGGCCCATAGGAGCCTGGCACCGATATAAGTCATTTGCATTCTTTGTTCAAAACTGTTAGCTAAATTTGGAAGAAAGCTGATGATTACACAGTTCACTGGGAAGATAATTGAATCCCTTGTATCCTCTTTGTTTCATTACACTGGTTACTCCTCTTGAGTGCTTCCTTTACAAGGCAAGGCAGGATCCCCTGTCTGGGTTGCTGACAGAGCACGTCAAGGCTTCAAAGGGTGCGCAGAGCTCCCCATGCCACCACGTATGTGCAACTTCAGTGAAACACACTGCCTGCATTTGGGAGAGAAGGCTTTGAGCTGTGGAAGGTGCTCATGATGTTATATATGAGACCATGTGAGTCTGCCAAGAGACCTTGTCAGAGACCTTTGGGGAAACACACATTCATAGTTCATACAAAAAGGAAGAGAAGTTTAAAAATTCAGAATCATATTACAATACTTGACAAAACAAATCATGAAAGTGGTCAATTATGTCTCAGCAAAATAAACAAACGCATATTTATCAATATATATATTTCAGTCTACTGTTTCTTATTCTGATGTTGACAACAGATATATGATCTAAAGATATGCCGTGGCAGGAGCTGTTCTGTATATAACAGAACACTGCTATAATGAATGTGGAAGGCAAAACAAGTGTGAAATCTCGGTAACCATTCTTTAATCACTTATGCCAAGACGTAGGAAAGCTGTTGCAGGACAGACAGCAACTAAGAGAAACTCAGTTAGAGAACATAGACTTATTCTCTAATACCCAGGGTCAAGGTGAGCACCCAGAAATAGTCAAGGAGCACTTGAGAGTCAGTAAACATGCCCGTCTGCCTATCTCTGCAGTCCTTTGAACTGGAAAGGCTTATATACTGGATATAGGAAACAGAGGGGAAAAAAAATCCAGTTCCCTGGGTCCTTTTCAAAGGGTGGCTCTCAGTCTGCGATGGGGCACCACTGACCACAGAATGCAGTATTACGAGAGAAACAACTAGTCAGACTCATGAATCTCTGTGTCTCTCCTTGACTTTTGTCTTGGGGAGGCTACGGTCATTTCAGGTGACTTGTGCAGCCAAAGGATCTCAAAGACAGTAATCCTACTCTGCCCCCATGTCTTGGACATTTACTCCGAGTAGGTGTTCTATTCTAGTTGGACAAAGAATATTATGAGACAGATGCTTAATGAAACCAAAACCCTCAGGTCTTATCCTCATAGGGGCCAAGAGGGATACCTATATCTACTCGGTGGCCACATTGCAAAAGAGTAGGCCAACACCAGTCATTAAGGCTTTTGCTACCAAACTAAAGGGCAAGAGTAGCAAGCCATGGATCAGGATGCGACAAAAAGTGGCCATGGGGTGTCTGGTTCCTCCCATGGTAACTTTAGGACTGCAAGCAAGAGAGCCACACAGTTTAACTTAATTCCATAAGCTTATTGAGCCCCCAACCCCCTGGGGGCTTGAGTCCAAGACCAAAGGCTGATTAACGCTGTGAGTTCTCCCACGCCAATAACTTTCTTATCTCTCACTTCATACTGAGTCTCTGGATACAGATGCTTTTTATTATTTCTGGAACCAAGACCAGACCCCAAATTTTCTGAAGAATGTGGGCTGGGGGAATGGTAGTGAAGGGAGGAGAAAAGTCATTTATTAACTGAACTTGCTTCTGAAGATATGCACACTCACTTCCTCATAGTGCCTTCCAAATTCCTCATTTTCTTCCAAGTCCCAGATCAATGTCACTTCCCTGCAATACGTCTCCCTACTAGAATGTTCTCTCCAAAAATGTGACATTCTTTCTTCTGCTACAACGCCAACTAATTCAGTTGTGGTGATTTTTGTTTTTGTTTTGCTTACCTATCTCTCTCATACTTCTTCTGGAAGGTAGAAAGTAAACCTCAGTTCCCGTGTCTCCAAAGTCTACGAGAGCACCTCCCTCAGAGCAAGTGCGCTAGAAACAGTCTGAATGAACATTACTGAAATGACGTGTATGTGTTAATGCATATATGAATCGATGCTCCGTCTCCCTGAATAGGCTGCAGGTTCTGGGCAACTGTGGTGCACACCTCCCCAGCTGGTGGCACCCTCCACAGTCCAAAGCACAGAGCTCAAGAAGCCAAAGGGTGTCCATAAGTCTGTTGACTTGGAAAATAATCCTACAAGCAGGGAAGCTCTTATCACAGATAAGCAAGCCTTCTTTTTCTGAGAAAATTTTAAAGCAAACTTATAAATTAACCTTTATTTGTTTTTAACCAGATCCATATCTGGAGCTATCACTTTATATTCGAGAGTCAGCAGGAGGCACATCGAATAACTCAACAAAACTGCCTGGGAGGATCAGTGTGTAAACTCTTTCTCTCCATTTATATTCATGTTTCCTGTGACCTCCTTGCTCCATAAGCTCTATTCAGCTTACATTTTAAGTAGATATTGATCCCTGTTTATGTGAATTTGTATGGGAAGGAGGGCAAGTTAAACGACTAAAACTCACTAGCACACCTTCTTCCACTATCACTTATTTTTATAATTTATAGTACATGTGTATGTATTCCCAATCCTGTCTTTCAAAGGAATTTCAACTCTCAGGCTAAACCTCCAGATCTAATCTCACAGTTTAATACTGTTTTGTCTTCTCATACATTAGAATGAAGCCTACAGAAAGTTCCTGAAGAAAAAGCACCTTTAGGACAGGTGATTTGCAAACAGATTTCACCGTGTGGGGTACATAAACAAAGAGGATTCTTACTATTTACAACTTAGAATGAGAAGCAAAATTAAATTAGGGAACGGCTGTGCAGATAAAAGGACATTATTTCATGATGTAAAACCAGCGAGTTCATAATATCATTGTGTTTACATTAAACCTGAGACTACTGGATACCTTCTCAGTGATGAGACTGATGACATGGGGTTACCAGAGAGAACTCAGTCTCTTGGTACTAGTTCTTTTGGGTGCCTGCCTCATCTGCTTGACTCTGACATTAAAAAGACAATACCTTCAGAAGGAGCTCGATCACTTCTGTGTGGACAAGTCCATGCACCGGTTCTCCATTGATGTGTGTGATCAGATCTCCAGCCTTCAGACCCGCCTGGCACGCTGGACTTCCTTCTTCTACATTCTAAAGTCCAAGAGGAGGAGAAATATTTACAAGCAAACAAATGATAGCCCTAACACCCATTGCCTTTTCTGGCAGAATACTCTGAGTTAATTAGCGAATGGTTCTAAGCTCCCAGTGGAAAATAGAAAACCCACGGCTACTATTCCTATTATATTATTGTTCTAAAGCAGGATAACTCCTATCGTTCCTTAAAAAATTTCAGGTGAATTGAGAAGGTAATTTTTTTTAAAAGACAAGACCAGAAAAAAAAGAAGATGAAAGAAGGATGGAAACAGGACTGTCTTTGACCATGTCTACTAGCTTGGTATGTAAGAGCAGACAATACCATATGAAAACTGAACAGAATTGAGACATACGATTAGTTTTTGCTAAATTCAATTCCACCACACAGATCAAAGGAAAGAGCTTTAAAAGGAAAATGAAACAGGTTCCAAATGCCAGCTTAAAAGAAAATGCATTTGCTATTAACTATGCCTCAGCCAACTTACCCGCTCTTCAGTTTGGCTGCAAATGAAAACTATAAAGTAGGAGAGACTGCTGGCCTTACCCAAACGATGTGGTGCACCGTATAGATGTCACTGTCTCCCACATACACCCGGATGGCTCGGATGGTGAAGCCATAGTTCTTCCCTGAACTGTGGATCACGATGGGCTGATGGGGACTGGCAGAAGCTGCGGAAGAGTCTCGGCTGGGAGAGGAATCTCGTGAAGAAGAAGGGTCCGAGGACAGGGAGTGGGGAGACATGGGACTTCCCAGCGGGGACACAGCAAACATATCTGCAACAAAGAAGCCAGGCATCAAAGTGGACCCTGGTCACACAGACATCCATGCAGCCAACCCCCGCCACGTGAGCCCTGCCAGGACTGGGAGCGTGGTTACAGAACAAATCCATTAGTTTCCATTGGCAAAATAAAAAAGAAACGATACAAAAAATTTATATGAGAGACTAGCGTGGATTTCAAAACAGAAGACTTTCCAAAGAAACTTAAAAAGTGTTTCAATTTTAACAAATTTTGAAGTTAGTATTCTAAAGTTGTAATTTTTTTAGTTGTCTACCTTAATTGAGAGACACACGTGAGCTACTTTCTGGCTGGGATTTTTTAATTAAATGTATTTTATTTTAATTAAAGAAATAAATAGTAGATGCCTGTATTTCAAGTATGTCCTTATGCACCAGAAGACTATATGTACCGTAGTAAAAGTTACTGGATTCCAATCCTGCACTAAATAACTTTAACATGGTCCTTCTCAACACACACGGACAGGAAAACAATTTATCAATTTACCAGCTGCTTTCTAGAATGTTATCGAACTAGTGCTGATTAAAGAATTTTAGTTAAGAAAACAATGATGTGACAACTCCTCTGTAAAAGAATAACTCATTACTATAGTTACAACTGATTCTCTTCATATGTTACCTACAGTTCTGAAAAGGTTTCTGAGAGAACAATACAGGTGAGACGGAGAAACTAAGAGAAACTCAGTTCAGATGCCAAAACACCAATTCTGATGTTTTCTCTGTATGGTGAGTGTTTGTGTTCCCCCACCAAATTCATGTTGAAACCTAACTTCCAAGGTGATGGTACTAAGAGGTAGAACCTTTCGGTGATAAGGTCAGAAGCACTCTGCACTTATGAATAGGGCCCTTATAAAAGAGACCTGAGGGAGATGTTCACCCCTTCTGCCATGGGAGGACACAGAGAATGTACCCTATCTATGAGGATCAAGCCCTCACCAAACACTGGATCTGCTGGAGCCTTGATCTTGGACATCCCAGTCTCCAGAACTATGAGCAATAAATTCTGTTGCTTACATATTACCCAGTCTAAGGTATCTTGTTAAAGCAGCAGAAAGAAAGAAGAACTAAGACATAATTACACTTATAATTTAGAGTTCACAACACTGTTCCATCTATGTGTATCTAAACAGATCTTAACTAGTCATGTGAAATCGTGTGTGTGTGTGTTTGAGAAAAGGCAGAATGATCTACAAAAGATGCTGAGGTTTAGATGTGAGCTTAGTTGGAGTCAGGCTAAGAGTACCCCGTGCTACCGAGTGAGGTGAGCTCCCCTGTGGCCACAGTAAGCTGAACGTATCCACACTATCCATTGTTCCAATTCTTGTCCAAAGAAAGGCAAGGCTATATGCAGCACTGTCCATCTCCTTCATTCTCTAACTTCCTGTGGCATCTTGGTTCTCTTTCGCTGGATGCTTTCTGGCTAATCCAAGTCCAGACGAAGAGACATGCATAGGTGGGTAGGGAATGTCAAAACATGCAGGTGGGAAGAGGACAGGGTGGACAAACATGGATCCAAACTGCTGACAACCCGGGGCTCCTGGTCTTTACCTCAGGATGGTCTCCCTTATCTCTCCGAATTGAACAATTTCCTGATTTGACCCAAGTATGGGCTTTCTCTCCAGCATTCAGAAGTACATTGGGCCACATCACACTCACCTTCCCTACTGTGCAGCTGTACTGGGATCATCACCATCAGGTTATGAAGAGTTACTCAGACTAGGGAGATAGGCGTTTGTTTTATGGTGTTAAATGAGATGTCTCCCAGAGACCGGATCTGCTACAGTGAGCACTAGTCCCCAGTGAGCATTTGTTTACATCAAATTTCTTTCGGCACAAATACGAAATTTTAAAAATGTAAACAGTCCCTTTTATACATGGGCTGTATTCTTCCAAATACAAGCCATCTGCAATATAATTTAAGTCCCATTCTACTCTCTTGCTGTCATCTGAGTGCTATCACAACCATCAGGGTGTATATTTCATTTCTGCCAGTGGAATTAGACTCAGTGATCAGCAGAGGCAAAACCAGCTTGTGGGAAAAGGCTGCAATTCAACAAAACCACGATTAAGCCCAGTTTTTCAAATCAGGGCAGAAAATGATTTGCCTGCCAGTAGGAGGAGGCATAGCCCAACTGACAGGGTTGGGGAAACTTGTCATTTCAGTGCTGACTGTGACTTGGCATCTCCAGAAACGAAAGGATGACATTCCCTGTGTCCACTTCCTTATCAATCAGATGAGAAAAACTGTACGTAGTTTTCCAACACAAGTGCTGTAAACAGCTCTGTAAAGTGTATAAATGATACATGGTCTAGAGAAGAAAAATCATTTAGGGGAGTGAAATTTATCATATAACGTGGAAGGAGAAAACAAAACCAAACAAAAGAAACAAGCCTTCATGGGAAGGAAGGCCCTCACATCCCCTGACGCAGAGACTGAGATGAAATAGGCTGAAATGCTCTTTGGGAGCCCCAGAGATTCAGCAGGGAGAAATCAGGAGTCTGCAGGCAGAAGCTCTCAGGGGATGTGCCCAGGAGGCACCCGTGACGGCCTGCACCTCAATCAGCATTCCAAATCGGGGGAGTGGGGAGGGGATCGCATGCACAAATCACACAATTTCATGCGAGTAGATGTCTCTCTACCTCCTGGGATCATGAGGGACAGAGCACTGGCAGAGAGGGACTTTGTGACTTTGCCCGAGATTTTCTTTTTTTCTGTGCTTTCTAATCGCTGCCGAGCCATGTGAGAGGCGGGTTCACTGGATGGCTTTGAGGAATTATCTGTACTGTCCACACACTCGCTCCGTCCATTTATCTGATCCAAGTGCTCTGAAAAACTGCCAACTGTACAAAGAAGAAGGGATAAACACGTTCAGGAAAATCTAGGGTAGGAGAGGTGGGGGTGGGGGGG